CTGTGTACCTCCAGGACTGTGCAGTACCAGCAGGAAAAGCAAGTACTAAATGAGTGTGCAGTACCAAATGCGCAGTCAGGGCCATGTGTAGACATGCCCAGTGGCTCTTTCTTTTGAAGCCTTAAGATATTGGTCATTATTGGAAACAGGACAGACAGTGTGTTTGGTACTCTTGATAGATGGCTATGCTCATCCAATGTAGTAAATTCTGCTATGTATTCCTGTGCCTTCAACAGGGATTTGGAGGATCTAACTGTTACAGAACTCAGAGGAACTCTATACTCCAACTAGTACTCTCTTATTTAAGCTTACATTGGGATTGCTGCCTTTCTTTGCAATAAATCACAAACTCAGATAGGATGTTGGAATACTGCTAGTATAGATAAAGTGTAAAGCTTGAAGATGATTCTGTAGGTATTCCTTTTGTAGCTTCCAGTTAGTTTCTGTTGTTAGATCCAGTATCAATATATTTAGCCACCACTAGAACTGGTTAAAAAGTTGCCATTTAAAGTTTGTTTGTTTGTTTGTTTTGGAGAGTGCTGATTGAATCAAATCAAAAGGTTCCATGAGACATTCTGTTTAATCTTTTAATGGGATCCACAGTTGTTGGATGCATGGATGGTTAATCTGCCTGCCAGCCTGCCTGGCTCCAAATATTCCTTGTTACATGGCAGCTAACCTTATAGATTCCCTAGGCTTCCTTTGTCCCTGGGCTTCATGCCTCCCCAATTCTCTGCATCCTGCCTAGGTTCCAGTTCTCTGCATCATGCCTAGGTTGGCAGACTTCAAAGATTGCACAGCTCCCCAGCAGTCTACCTGGTATGTTTCTGGGGCTGCCCAGTACCCTGAATTGCCTGCTTGCTGAGGTGGGCTCAATAAATCCCCAGCTTCTATGGTTGCATAGGTACTTCACCAGCCCAAGAATTTTTTTAAAATGCTGTTTTTTGTTTTAGAAACACATTTTTTAAATCTGTCTGCAGAAAATGTTGTGTTTCTTAGTTTTTGTTTAATTCAGAAATAAATAATTTTGATAATGGCAGATGTTCCATGGGGTGAACTTTGTGGCCCTGGTACAACTACTAGTTATGACTTCGACATGCTTTGGTTATGTCTACATGATTTCTTTGGCA